AGCGGCCGTGTGCTGTAGGCGTTAGACGCTTTGTGGATGGGTGAAATCTAGTGCGTTCGCGTCACCGACATGCTTGTAGCAGTATATATCTGAGTATATCTGTATCTATACAGAGAATTGTTGAAATTAATGATGACAATGATGCAAACAATGTTAAAAATCAAGTACATTGAAATTTATGTAAATATTTGAATAATAAAAAACCATATAAACATGCATATAATTGTTGCTCGGAGTGTCAATAGATGTGAAAACCAGATTGATGTTGATAATTTTTATTCAAACATTGTGAAATTTCAAATTTTACTACTAAAAGTTCTATGTTTTCACTTCTATCGGCAGTCCCTATAACTGCCATTTTTTTTTTTAGCAGGAAAAGACAGGATGCCGATTTACAAGTTAATAATTATTTATTGGAATATCTACCTTAGCACGGTGGAGGGCAGGAAGGGATAATTTGTATTTGTATTGGCTGCATTCCTCCTGCCACGTCCAGCTTTGCGGGGATGGTTAGCATTGGGCCGCATTGTGCGCAGTAGCATGGGGGAACAGGTCCTGGACAAGGAGCACAACAAGGTTGTCTAAATCCCGGCATTTTCTTTTTTTACTATGTGTATTAAGTTATATCTATTTAAAATTTTGCTCGAAAGTATTTCACGCAATTTTGCAGTTTGTTTCGAAAAATACTGTATCATAGAAACTGAATTTGTTATAATAGTTACATTATTTGCATTGCCTGCTCGATTTTTTTGCAATGAAATAAATGAAAATTGGTCTTGCGTTTTCGCAGTAGTGGTTTCGCGTTTCGCAAAGTCGACTGATTACATCCCGAAATCATAACAAATGCTATTACGTACATATGTACAGTTCTGCGTTTTCAAAAACTTAATTCCGAGATAGACAGAAAAGTATAATTTTGGAAATTACAAACGCTATGTGACAATACCCAATGCATTATAACTATTTCATTTTCGTCTAGACTATAGATGGGTCGGGTACCAAGCAGTCTCCAGCAATTCTACTAGACAAGAAAAAAAAACCGACCCCAGTAATAATAATTTAATATAAGTAGAACAAAAAATCTACCTAATAAAAATGGTAATTAAAGTTGTATTGGGATAGGTTGTTTGTTCTAATTAGTATTATTTATTGATTACTGTACTCAACTATTTGTTATTTTAATATACTTAGTTCTTAATGTTAAGTTAATAAACGACAACCAATTAACACGATTTTGTCACCTTAGCTTTTATAATTATTATTTGCCCTTTTTAGCGGTTTTAACTTAACCCTCGCGTTGAAAATCCACCTGCCAAGAATTAAAATTTCATTGTTTTATGGTTTGAACCACTTTTTCAACGAGACTTATGGTTGCATTAGAACGTTAATGAGGGTGGTTTTTAATGGAATAATCACCAGAACGAAGACATGAACAAATTAACCGTAGCGGTTTTGCTAGATACCCGGCACAACTAATATTATATATATATATATGAAACACTTTGACATTTAATATCTTTATCATAAAGTCGTCAGTCCTAAGACTGGTTGGACACACACCTCCATTCTTTCCTATCCTGATCTAATTGTCGTATTTCCGTAAAACAAGAACAGCTCATATCCTTAACTATTTGCGAACAGTAATCTAATATAGGTCTGCCTCTAATTGTCTCTGACTAGACCCTCATGCCTGGGAAGGTGTCCTACTAACCTATCTTGACTATTTCTTATTGACTTCCATAGAGTCCTCTGTTCTCCTTTTCTTTCTAATACCTCTTCACTTCTAACCTTCTCTATCTACGGTATCCTCATCATTCGCCTGTATAACCACATGTCTAACACTTCTAACTTTTCCTTTTCCGCCGCGCCCACTGTCCATGTTTCGCACCCGTACAGCGCCGTGACCAAACATAACCCTTTTCGAATTTCTAAATTAACCATTCGCAAGCATAGAAGTGACTTCTTTTTATTGAAGGCGACTCGACCCTGAGCTATCCTCTGCTTAATATCCCTACTACTCCTTCCGTTCTGACTTATCTGACTTCCTAGATACCTACAATAGTAGGTAAAATTTGAAAATGAATTTGGTATTAATATTTAATGTCGAGTTACCAGCCATCTGGTGCATCTCTATTCTAGACTTCAGGTTATTCGAATTAGCTACGAGATACATATACAGTAGAACCTTTATAACTCGAACATCAAGGGGGACGCCAAAAAAATCGAGTTATACATTTTTCGACTTATGGAGGATTATGACTTGTAGAGGTTAAACTTTGGTGTACTTACATTGTCGGCAAATCCTTAAAGTCAATAACTTAGTTTTCTTAGAACTATAAACGTAATAAGTTTCAAATTATCGAGTTATAAAGGTTGTAAAATAAAACATTGCTATGTTCGAAATACAAAGGTCCAATTTAATTTCTCGAGTTATAGATCTCTTTCAGTACTCAGGGTGGCAGAGATCACTAGGATCGGTATAGCACTCTGATGCACAATACTGCAATGTGGAAGGCAACGGGAAAACCACCACATTATGATCCCGAGTAAAACATACGTTAAAAATTAAATGACGGCGTCTTTTGGGGTAAAACATTCCGGATGCAAACTAGTCCCCCATTCGGATGTCCGGGAGGGGACTACCTCAGGGGATGTCATCAATAAGTGCAATAGGAATAGGTACAATATGTTACGACTTCGAGCGTGGAATGTTAGGACATAGTTAAGGATGTGGATTGTTCTAGTTTAGGGAAATGCAAAGTTTAGTTTAGGATAGGAAAGAGTGGAGGTCGTGTCCAAGCAGTCTTAGGACTAACGACCTTATGATGATAATGATGATGATGATGAGAGGGAAAATATGTACCACAAAGGGTTGCAGGGGCTCACTGATTGTTTCGATTGAGGGTTGAGATTTCCAGTAATGGAAGTTCTGGGGCTTGAAGGGAAGGGAACAAAACATTTTTTCAAATCTTTGGAGGTTTTCGACTTATCAATGTTCGACTTAAAGAGGTTTTATTGCACTTACCTATTTATATATTTGTAGTGCGTTCTTTTGTAAGCATGTGACTAATTTGATTGTAGGGGCAATTCTAAAAAAAATTCCAGTGCAGCAAATGAAAATTAACGAGTTCGAAAATAAAAGTAGCTATACTAAAACTCAGTCCGAACACCAGTACAACTAAAGCACTTGTAAATTCGACTAGAGTAACTGTTTCAGTTTTCTGCTCTATTGTTCCATTTCTTCTTTTCATTGTGTCTTGATAAATGGCGTCCACGTCCCATTTGTGTTTGAGATCAAACTCCCTTACTCTTGCAACAAGTCTATTGATGTCTTCCAGAAAATAAAAGTTCTTCTTTGTCATGTACCCTAGTGCGTAATACCTCGGACAATTGGGCATTATGTGATAATTGGGTCCGCATATCTCCATGTAGTAAGTAACCGTCCTTTGGCGTGTAAGGAATGCTTTATAATTAGGACTTTCTGTAGGTATCAATTTAACATTAATGAACCCATTAGGAATAGTGGTACCGTTTAGGGTGTCGGAAATACTTTCAGACTTTACCGAAACGACCAATCCACTATTACTTAGATCCTCCAATGTATTAATTTCTGGGTAATATTTAGGTGTTGTCAAAAACGTGACAAATCTGCTTTGAAATACAGTATAAATAAAAAACACGTAAATCAAAGTGAGACCGGTGAAAAATCTACTCGAAAATACACCTGCTGGTTCCAGTCGGCTCACGTTCCAGAAAATCCGAATTATTTTGAATAAAACGTCAGTCACTGTAGGCTTGTTCCTCTTAAAATGTTCTGCACGAAGCCTTTGGGTTACTAACAACCCGAAGTAAAGTAACGTCGGTATTAAAATCAGAATAAGCCACAGGGTTACGTTAAAGTTTGTGAAGAAAGCCATCCATATGGGCATTTTTTCTGCTTTTGGAACCACAATGCAAACATAATCAAAAGTGAGATAATTGGTCATATCAACGTCGTCAGTGTCGTAAATCTTAATGAACATCTGGACCGTAGTCATGTCCGCTTCATTGGTTAAAAGTTCTTTGATTGATCCGTATTTTGATGATCCAAAAGTTTTTCCCTCTTTTGGTTCGTGACTTATTATGGTCACATTGAGATATTCTTCTATTAGACCCATCAACGAAATATCTTCCCCTATATATCGTCCCTTTTTGAACACAACCGTCGGCCCATTTTCGAATACAGTTGTCTTTATTTTATGTCTTCTAAAATTATTTATTTGCAAAAATTCTACCATTTGCTGCTCTTGAGTTCTATTAAACGTTGCCAACGTCTTCGTGAACGGATTGTATGTTGTCATGTTCATGTAATGATTTGAGCAAGACTTCGAGGTCATTACAATTATTAGTCTTTTAAATCGAAGTGTCCATTTCATCAATAACCGTTTGTTTTCTTTGCAACTGTTCGAAGATAAAACGATCAGAATCGGAGTTGTCACACTTAAATTTTTTTCTATCTTGTGGAAAGTTAAAGTGGCGTCATTGGGGTTTGTTTCAATCATTAAAAAGAAGCTTCTTTTAGTCAGTTTAATGTTGAACATGTCCGAACGATCGAATAACATGAAAGGTTTGTTATCAGGAAGTGCTTCCATTACTTGGTCAACTTCAATTTCGTTGTTAGTTTTGTATATTATGACGATATCTGATACGTTCCGAAACAACCAATAAGGAATTGCATCTTTGACAAAGTCATCGTTAGTCAAACAGTGCAGTGTAATATATTCGGTATAAATTATTAAAATTATAAATTTAACACTCAGTTTCATATTAGCAGTTAAAACTTACAATCAACTTAAATAAAGTCAAAGAAACACTGATAGAGTGTGACTTAAAACGGTACCGATTCGAGGTAATAAATAGTTACAGATTTAAAGATAGATAAGTTCTATTATGTTCGTGAAGAATATTGGCAAACAAATCGTTAAAAATCGTTTAGAATATTTACAGATAATGAAACGGTATGTTGTCAAAAGTATTTTATTTTCTTTTTTTATTTTTACGATTAACAAAACAGCTATTTGACTTCACCCTTATACCAAGTAGTTAACATTTACTTTAGATAACACTCTTCAGATAAAATTGTAGACATACAACGTTCAGGGGACGTTACATTAATGTTGAGTATTACGTATACCAGGCTTTTCAATGTTTACCATCAACCTAAAAGCGGAAAACAGCGTTAATAATTAACTTGTAAAGTTCAAACATGTTGCGGTGTACAAGTACATAAAGGAAAGTATTGAAATAAGTTGGAGTATACTCAAGGGCGTCACCAGCCAATGGGCCAGAGGGGGGCAAAATGGCGGTAGATAGATGATGTGAATTGTTGATAAAATAAATTAGAAAAAAGTATCTAAATCGGAACATTGACTTTTTGGATTTTATCTTTTTTTCGTTAAAACTAGTGACTTCTATCCACCCCTAGGGATCAATTCCGAACTGCTAGAGGTCCATTGCATCGAAGACAACAATTGGGGGTGCATAAAATGCAAATGGGGTCCACCGATAACAATTATATAAATTATGTTTTAAGTAAAAATGTTTAAAACATAAGCGCTTATGGAGCATGACGATGAAAAGGTTTGATGAATTTTATGCTAAAATCATGGGAATCATGATTGTTAAAAACTCAACCTTGAGTTAATAAATTTATAACAAATTAAAATTAGGAAAGAAATAGATAAAAAAAAATTGGCATTTCGTCTACAACAGTTGGAAGATTCGGCATGCACAAGCTTATAACAAAGGTATGCTTTTCAGATTGATTAAGTGCTGTGGGACCTCTATGGGGTTCGTAATAGTGTGTGGTGACAGTTTGTTAACATTTGAATGGGTTTTTTCTTTTTGTAAACTTCTTCGGTCCAATTGCCCAACTTTCTCATGCCATTGGACGAGACCTATAACGTAGGTTCATTTCGGCCTTCAATCATCGCGTCTGCTTTTTGTTATCTCATTATTAATTAAACGTTAAAGGGAACATTTTTTGATCGATTTAATAAGTATCATTTGATTTGAGGTTTGATTGGAAACCAATGAGTAGCCTGCCTGTTTATTATATCTATCACCTTCGATCATTTTATCTTATTGGGCCATCACCCCGTAATTTTTTGTCTTATTTATCATTACCTACTCAGTATTTTTTAAATTAAAACATTATTACTTACATAATAAATATTTTTTTTATTTTGTCATGTAGGGATGTTCTACCCGAAGGGAGTTACAGCGGGAACATAGACATTACACCACGGGACCATATCTCCTGACTTTGGAGGAGGAGGCAGTCCTACACAACATCCACATTTCGAAACTGCTGGAGGTGGAGGATTCATAAGGGAAGGACAGCAGGGAGGCAAAGAACCACTACCACATTGCGGTGCATAAGAACAGGGCGGCAAAAGAGGCATTTTCAGATTTTTTTAAAAAGAGGAACTTTAAATTTTGACTTGATTCAAACAAAAGCAATTTTTAAACTGTTGTCATTTCAATTTTTATCAAAGCTTACTTTTCTAGAAATAACGTGGTAGTAGTCTAGATAAATTAGCTGAAAAATCGCCATTTTTTTGATAAGTAAGAAATAGACCTGATTTTTGAACGTAAACATTAAACAATATTAATACATTTAATAAAATTGTGTGCACGCTCACAAGTGTGAGGAAACTTGTTTATAAAAATTTTAAGATCGTTTTTCCGATGTTTTTTTCGTTTTTAATTTAGACGAAAAGAGTTAAATGAGAACGTTGTTTAAAAACACTTTTTCGATAAGGTTAAAGGGGTTCAATTTTTTAAAGTTATAAATTTTCTTCAATAAATGAAGATTTATCGAGAAAAAGCGATTTCTTTGGTATTCACTTTTAAAATAGAAATTCGGCTATTGCTTTGAAATTTTGGGAACAAAGGTCTTCGTTATACCTAATTATTCATGCTTCCCGATCGAATAAATAGAGGAATAACAATTAATTTGTTAATAAAAAAAATATTAATTTGGTAATGCTACCGAATACTAATTATTGATCCCTTATGATTGGTGCTCACAAAGAATATGTAAAAAGTGTACTTCTATCATATTCAATCATTAAAATTATATTTTTTTATTTAACGTTATTTTTGGCTATTTGTAAATTTGATTCTTAGGTAATATACTTTTATTGGTGTCCAATTAAAGGTTTTTTTAACAATTTCATGAAAAGATTATGAAACTGTATAAAAAAAACTTCGATTTAGGACCAATAAAAGAATCTTACCTACCTAAAAATCAAGTAGCTAAAAATAAGCACAAGTAGTTTATTAATGATGTACGTAATTTTTTACTACCAAGTCACATGCAAAAAAAATCGGGTCTATTCCAAACATTTCCACATAAAAGTCTAATTTGCCTGGACTATTAGCAGATAGCATCTTAGTTACGTATTACGGTCAGTAACTGAACGGAATTGGTGGATTCGTCATAAAAACTCATTTTTGTCATGGAGAAGTGTTTGTATTTGCATGTAAACAAAGGACATGGCAATACTACCCAGAAACTCAACCTGTTCCATCTAATACCGGCTAAGAAAGTATACTAGAAATAAAAGATAACATTTTTTCAATAAATCAATTTTTATTTCGCACAGGAAAATTTATACCAGTACCTATTAGCATCTAGCAAGGAGGACTTAGGGATAGCTTTAAATAAAATGGAAGCGGTACTGACAGATCAGTACTGTATGAAAATAAATAAAAGTAAAACTAAAATACTGGTATGCAAGGGAAGAAAAAGTAGNTGTATCCATATTTTGTAATTGCTTTTCACAACTTTCCTGTGTATATATATACCAACAAAGACGTAATAATGGGACGAAATTTGGTTCCTTTGGATTATTCTGGAAGAAAAGGATTGTCCTCTCTTTTGCTAAACAAAAGAATAGTAAAAAGATAATGTAAACGCAAAGTTATAATCAGAAAATTTTACTTTCTGGTGATACTTGTTTTAAATTCTGATGACCATTTTATAAAATGAAAATATTTAGGTTTTTTAAATTTTATTTATTAAATTAAGCGAAAATAGTTCGTAACAATCATCTTTATATCCAAAACTGAAAAACAATGCAAAAAACCCGATATTTGGCAAAAAAAAGTAAAAAAATAGAATAAATACATAATTTGGCAAAAATTAAGCATGCGGAGTGAATTATTTGATTGTTTTTTGATAAATTAAGCAAAAAAAAAGACAGGAAAGTTCATGTTTTTATGGCTAAAAATTGTCCAAAATCACGTGAACGTACAGAACACAATACGAAATAAAAACATGCAGTGAAACTTCGAAAATCAAAAATTTATATTAGGAGAGTATAAGGCGCTTAAGAAAACAGACAGTTTACCCCTCAAAATTTAGTGTTATTGTTATTGTTGCAAAAATTTAGTAGTTCTCTGGCAAACAACTGCATTGCAATTGAAACCTGTAAACTAGATGTACTAATATTTGACTATTGGCAGAGAGATGTCGCTTCAGCTACGTCAGATACCAAGGATATCGTATAAGTTTTAGCTGAAATATAAGGGATAATCGAAAAGTTTTAACTAAAAGTACTGAAAATTAATATACTGTAATTATTTGTTATACAAGCCACATTGAAGTATCAATACTGGTTCATTGAATTGTTGTTCCTACTTTCGGTCAACAAATTAACGATACACGGGTCGATTTAACAGAAAAAAATGCAATAAAATTTGATCGTTTGCCAAAAATAAAACAAACAAGAGCGTATTTAGATCATTTATTGATTAATTTTTGATATTGGATGTGATTTATTGAAGAATTAAGCAAAACTATTCAGCCAAAGTTCGATTTTAATTCCTATACGTAGGTCGACGTTGAACGAAAAAAACGTAAAAAAAAACATAAATAATAATTTTATGGCAAAAATACAGCAAACGGGAGCTCTTTATATCATTTATTAGTTAATCTATATCATCAGTTATCATTTATCGATGAATTCAGCTAAAATATTTGGCAGAAGTTCGATTTCAGTTCCCAAAAACAATCGTCAGGTACATCATACATGAGTTATTTTTGGGAACCAAAAATGATAAGAACTAGCTGTGGCTTGCTTTATTTTTGTAAAAAAATCGTTATTTATTCTGTTTTAACGTTTTTTCGGCTAAAATTGACCCATGTATATAAACTAAAATCGAACGAACCGAATTGAAAATTTTTGTTTAACTGCTCGAATAGTTCGATTTTAGTTCATATACATGGGTCGATTTTAGACAAAAAAGCGTTAAAACAGAATAAATAACTATATTTTTACAAAAATAAAGCAAGCCTCAGCTACTTCTTATCATTTTTTAATTAATTATCGATATCAGTTGTCATTTACTGATGAATTAAGCGAAAAATTTGTCCTAATGTTCGATTTTAGTTCCCAAAAACAATCGACAGGTAGCTATACATGGGTTATTTTTGGGAACCACAATAGAACATTGGGACAAATTTTTCGCTTAATTCATCAATAAATGACAACTGATATCGATAATTGATTAATAAATGATAAGAACTAACTGTGGCTTGCTTTATTTTTGTAATAAAATGGTTATTTATTCTGTTTTTACGTTTTTTTCGACTAAAATCGATCCACGTATATGAACTAAAATCGAACGATTCCAGCAGTTAAGCAAAAATTTTCAACTCGATTCGTTCGATTTTAGTTCATATACGTGGGTCGATTTTAGCCGAAAAAACGTAAAAACAGAATAAATAACCATTTTATTACAAAAATAAAGCAAGCTACAGTTAGTTCTTATCATTTATCAATCAATTATCCATATCAGTTGTCATTTACTGATGAATTAAGCGAAAAATTTGTCCCAATGTTCTATTGTGGTTCCCAAAAATAACCCATGTATAGCTACCTGTCGATTGTTTTTGGGAACTGAAATCGAACTTCTGCCAAATATTTTTGTTAAATTCATCGATAAATGATAACTGATGATATAGATCAACTAATAAATGATATAAAGAGCTCCCGCTTGCTGTATTTTTGCCATACAGTTGTTATTTACGGTGTTTTTTACGTTTTTTTCGTTCAACGTCGACTTACGTATAGGAATGAAAATCGAACTTTGGCAGAATAGTTTTGCTTAATTCTTCAATAAATCACATCCAATATCAAATATTAATCAATAAATGATCTAAATGCGCTCTCGTTTGCTTTATTTTTGCCAAATTATCAAATTTTACTGAATTTTTTGCATTTTTTTTTGTTAAAANAACTTTGGCAGAATAGTTTTGCTTAATTCTTCAATAAATCACATCCAATATCAAATATTAATCAATAAATGATCTAAATGCGCTCTCGTTTGCTTTATTTTTGCCAAATTATCAAATTTTACTGAATTTTTTGCATTTTTTTTTGTTAAAATCGACCCATGTATAGCTGGTGTAAAGTAAGCCACAGCTAGTTCTTATCATTTATTGATTAATCATCCAATTCAGTTATCATTTACTAATGAATTAAGCAAATCATTTCAGTAAAAGTTAAATTTTTGTTGCCATACGTGGGTAGATTTCGCCGGAAGAAACACAATGAAATTTAATAATTTGTCAAAAATAAGGTAAACAAGAGCGCAATTCGATAGTTGTTTGATAAATGAACAGAATAAGCTTGGAAAGTTCATATTTTTATGCGCCAAAGCTAACTATAGGTATTATGAATGTTAAATTTTGGTGAATGCGCCGGACACGACTATTGCAATGAAACTTCAAAAATCGGAAATTTGTATTAGGAGAGCATAAGAGTCATGGGAAATCTGACTATTTACCGCGCAAAATTTAGTGTTATTATTATTGCCACCAAACTTTAGTAGATATTCGGTAGACATCTGTAATACTATTGAAACCTGTAAACTTGAAATAATGATGTTTGACTATCGGCCGCGAGATGTCGCTTCAACTACGCGAGATACGAAGGATATCCTATAATTCTTGAACTGAAATATACGGGATAATCGGAAAGTTTTAACAGAAATACTTATTTATCAGAATGAATTTACTGTATTATTTTTTAATGCAGAGGACGTTAAACTATTGATATTGGTTAGTTGATTTTATTATCGCAGCTCAAAAAATTAATGATCGACATGTTAATAGGCGATAATTAAAGCAAGAGGATAGGAAATTAAAATCGACACATTTAACATAACATTTATTTAATTTTTTTGCTATATCTGTTTACAATACTTACAAAGTAAATAAATAGTTTGTGGTATCAGTTTACAAGAAAATGTTCAATGAATAATTTCAATTAAGTATTTGCCCATAAACAATATGAAAAACTGACAGGTAAGATCTCAATTTTACTAACTCTTTTCTTCATAATTAGTGCGATAGTAAAAGACATAATGTTGCAGGATAAACAGGATATCGAAGAGGACCGAAAACAGACCAAGGCCGAACTTTGTGGGGTCACCAAAAATAGAAGCCCAATCGTCTGAAAATATATAAGATATTAAAGTAAATGCATACACCTACCAATGTAGTGTGAAGTAAATTACAAACAGAAATATCTTTTATGAACGAAATAAACTCTACAAGTAATTAAAGGAAAATGAAAATAAGATTAAGTATAGAGAAAATTGATACAAAGAAAATACAAAAGAGAATCTTTACTTCGTTATGTGAATTCAAACATTTATAACAGTGCATTTTGTATGAAAATATACTGTGTAAAACGAAATAATATTTTTTTAAATGTATTTCTTAAAGTTTATTAATAATTGTCATGTCCGCTTCATTGGT